TTGCAAAAAATATGCCCGAATTCGATTGAAACTTGTTACTCGGGGGTTTTTGGGATCGCTGATTACGAATGTGAAGTCAGAATCCAAAAATTCAACTTCACGTACCTACAATGGCAGACCAAGTTTTCAAAATTTGAAGTAGCGTCCTTTGCCTTTGAATATTTCAAAGTTTCCCGATTCTCACCGCGAGGAGGTGAACGATTTTGGGAATCTTTTTTTTTGTTTTTTATTTTTTCTTTTTTAGTTTTTTTAAAATGTTTTTAATTTTATTGCACAATATTCCAGCCTAAACATTAACTTTCTGTGTTTGAACTATCATACATATGTATGTATGTTTCCAAGCAAAATTTGTATTGGAAATAGATACTTATCTTTTTAATATTGCATATGTGTGTATGTATTTATACCAGTTTAAGTTCTTCTAACTAATTGTTTAATATTTCTTCCGTTTTCTTCTCACTATTTGCTTAAAAATTTCCATCTTTTTTATTCAGTATTCTGTCTGTCGTTGTAATTGGGCATAATGGCTTTGACAGAAAAAGAAAAAATCAAAATCGAAAAGTTACCCGCCCATCCATCTCCAGGGTGAGAATATACTCCGTTGAGTATTTCTTGAGATATGTTAAACGTTTTAGACTCATTTTTTAATTTCGCTGATTACAGCGCCATCTGTCATCAAAAAAATGTTTGTAATAGGTAAAATTTATGTAACTTTTTCTGAAGAAGCGAAATCTGCAATAAAAAATGGGGGTTCCCATTTAAAATTTTAAACTTACCCTCGCTTTCACCCACAGCGGGTGGGGGTGGGGGGTCATATTAGATGTCAAAATATTTTTGATAAATATTTTTAATATCCTGCTATTTACATAATTTCCAATATAAAATAAAATATATTTACACAATAAAAACAAATTTACATAATTTTTGTGGAATTACATAATTTCTATAAAATTGCATGATTTTTATATTTACGGAACTAATCATGTAAATCTATTTTACATTTATTATATGTGTAAATTTACGAAATTTTTTTACAGTGTAAGTGTCTTGTGTCGTATCGTGTCCAATTATGTGCAAAGTAACGATAAAAGTAACTGTAAAATTCGTGACCGTTACCAACAAAATGTAACTTCGTTACCATTACAGTTACCAAAGAAAAAAAATAACGCAGTTACTAGTAAAGTTACCAAAAAAGTAACTTGTAACTGTAACTTCGTTACAAGTAACGAGTTACTTCCATTCCCTGATTAAATATCAATAAATAAAACAGAACTTTATTTTGATTACGCAATACAAATTATGATTTTATTTTCAATACACTATTTTTGCACAACACAGTTTCCAAGAGACGTTTTGGGGACGTCCTGTGGAGAACCGTGGTGTACGTTACTATTAATTAGTTATTCTTTGCTTTAAGGGGATAGGTATAAAGATATTTCTTGTAGTCTTTTACGTCAACAATGCGATAATCTCCAATTTCCTGCTGATCGTCGTTTATATATTCCAAAGTAAAGTACTCTGTTTTGGGATCCTCAACTATAACAATTAACATTTTTAGTTATAATTGTCTCAGGAATTTTGACCAATTTAAACATAATTCAATAACAAAAAGTGGAAAGCAAAAAATGATGTTACAGAATCAGAAGACAAATAAACATTAACCAAAACTCAACAAAAAAAATTATATATACTAACTATTTTCTTTTTCGACCGCAATATTCCCTGGATCATTTCCTACTACATGTATGCTTAATTTTCTAAAATTACTTCCGTTCTCCGTGTGCTTTGCAAAACATTCTTTCAGATCATTGATCTTTATATCCTTCATTACAAACATTTCCCTCTCGTATCTGTCAAAAACGTATTTCCCCGATATTATCTCACTCCAGTTTCTGTTAACTTCTTCACTAAGAACATTATCGAAATATTGATTTGTTTTTTCTGCAATTAGTCTCTTCTTAAAATCATCCAAATTTATATCATAGAAATCTTTCAAAATTCTCTTATGAAAAAATTGCAAAAATGCCTCGATCTTCTGATCCATATGCTCGGTTGTGTATTTATTTGCATCAGTATAAACGGTAATGGAATATCCTAAAACTCCGTTAATGTAGTCACAATTGCACGAGGCAATTTCAAACTGCAGTTTTTCATGTACTACCCAAATGCGTATCATTACAATCATTATTTCCTGAAAACATGTAAAGATGAATATGATACGCGGGTGAAATCAATGGCAATAACCGAATAAGTTACACATATTTTATTCACTTATGTACAGAAATATGTATAGATAAAATACAAATAAATATGAACTGAGAATTGCAACGCCCTCCAAAAATATACAAACGATGTTATTTAATACTTACCATCATCAGATCGAGTAATACCGATAAATTAAATGACGTGATACCAACTTGATAATAATTTGTTACTACAGAAGTTCGATTAGTTTTGTTAAAACTTTTTAACTTGCAACAGCTTATGCCCAAAGGTATTTGGATGACTGTCATCTGCTGTAATGTATTACTAAGCAAGGGACCGCAATTCACTATTTCGAGACATTCCCGTATAGTTACGAGTGCATCGTCCGGCGTTATGTTACCTTGCACGAGGCACTGGATGTACAAATGATCGGTAAAGGATTTCACAAAGCATCGGAATTCTTTAAAATTTACACTAGATAGAGCAGTATGCATGTCGACGTATGTATAATGAATAAGCTTCAAGATCGACAATTTCACGTCACTATAAGAAAGAAGAAAGGAAGTTATTAATGGGCAGAAATTTCATTTTAGAGTTTTAATTGTTATAGTTAATTTGTTACTATCAGTTATGTAAAAACTTTATGGTTATTTATTATGTTTAATAATAAATAACAAGTACTTGATAAAAACAAATGGATTCATAAATGCCTTGCTATAATATCCCTCATCTAATAGTCGCACTTTGCAACATTCAAATAAAGATTCTGTAACAAGTGCTGGACAGTCAACCATGGATTTTGCAATAGTTCTCAACAAGAGCTGTAATGAGTAAAATAATATATCTCGAAAGTGTATTTATAAGAAAAAATAATAATAATAAGAACTCTTGGTATAAAAAACACAATTAACAATAAAAAAAGCTAGTGAGAGTAACAACTCTGAAATTTCAAAGCATCATATATACATATATGTAGCATATATATGTATATTTATAGCATCATATATATATATGTATTTCATTGTATTATTATGTACTATATTATATATTCTATTAACAACGTCAAAAGTTATGGCAACATTTCGAGCAATTCTTAGGAAACAATTTTTCTCTCATATTAATTTCATTCACATTGCGCTGAATCGCAGTTCTAATGTAATTAATTCCATACAATGTTTATAACATTCAAGTAAATAAACATTTAAAAAAAATAAATAGGGAGATCAAAACCGGAGAAAAAATAAGAATTACAGTATATATCTTTTTTTTTAGTAATATAAAATTCCGCAATCATGTTGGAAAATTAAAAAAAAATAAAATTACATACTAGTTAATTAGAAGTTAGAAATAAAATTATTTTATTATTAATTATTAACAAAAAATATTGTACTGTTACGGTTTCGGCTTCGAGTTTTCCTTTGCTTTTTATAATTTGACCCTGAATTGAATCTAACGAATACTGTAAAAAATTAATAGCTGCGATACTTTCTGTATGCATATACGCAAATAAAATCTAATATAAAATAAAAAACTTGAGAAAATTGAAGACGTGACCGAAAAGTATTGTTAATGAAATACGAAATATATTTGAAATTTGCGCTTAAATTACCACACCGTTATCCACATTAATATTATATTGCTAATTATATTTTTGTAGACTGTAAAAAATACTCAGAATCGACACAACTAAATCTCAGGGTTGCGCGATTTCAGGTAAGTGAAGTATAATCAAGTCAAGAAGAATAAAAACCTAGTTAGATATATAATTACACTATTTAGATGAATAACTTCTCATAATTAATTGAACAAAAATTTAATTAAAGTATATTATTAACCGATCTGAAATAAGGTTAATGTAATATTATTCGAAATTCATTCAACTACTTCAAGGGTGATTTAACTGCGTAATTCTAATACATCTGCCTCTTCATGGAGATCAAATCAATCATACAGAAAAGTAAATTGAATTAATTATTTAAGTAATTCAATTATGGGACGGCTTAATCATAAGCGCATTTATAAAGTTGAATGAACCATTATTGATAGTAAATAAACACGAATATAACGTAAAAGTAACATGACTTAAAAGTAATAGGAATTTAATAAAATATTAACGATACTTCACTTTTTTGATTTAGAACGAGGGAGAGTTTTGTGGAGCTATTAACAGATGGCGCGTGTACTCGTAAGAAAGATTCGATGTCTACCTGTATCAAGCGAGGATGGTCAAATGATCTTTTCATACACTTCTTGCCACGTCATGGCGACAAACATTTTTTTATAGGCAGTTCAATCGATCTATATAATAGAAGATTTTAATTATAAATTAAATCATTTTACAAAATAACGAGATAGAATAAATTTAATGAATTGTCCTATTAGATAAACCATTAAATCTACTTCACTCGAAGATAAAGTAGAGATTACCTTAAAATTGTTATTATCAACAATTTATTGAGTTCTTGTTACTTTGTAGAATAATCCAATTAAATGTTAAAATCAATCTATTCTACTGCAGATTTATTTCATCGTGCTCATAAAATTATTTTAATTGACGATACAATTAGTTCCGTTACTATCAATAATAGTTTAGTCAACTACTTAAATATTTTATAGAACTAAATTTAATGTTTATTTAACTGTTAACACAAGAAAAATATTAAACGAAGTTAAAATTTTTCTTGGTGCAACCCGACAGTTAGTTCGCCGTATTGGACTCTGAAATTGAGTTGGTTTACCTCAATTCGAGTTGAATTCCTCAATCTTTTTTTACACTGTATTTATAATTTCAACACATGCTTGATTTTATACTTACGGGCAATTTCTCACTAAACCCGTTCATTTCTATTATAATACCTTTATGACTGGTATAGATATGATATTCAAATCCCGCTACCACAGCTGGATGTAATTCTTCGAACAAAAGCAGTTTTAATGCATGACAGTACATTTCCATAATAACTGCACTAAAATGTCATAAACGTGAATGTCCCTTTCATTAAGATATAAATACAAATGTAAAATTATATTAATATTATAGATCGGCAGTTACACCATACTGTAAACCTTTCTTATAATTTTTTATAAAATTTTTCGGAATTTTTACAGAAATTTTAGATTTATTTAGAATCTTTAATTAATTTTAAAACATTGAAACAATTTTCTCAGTTTCTATATATACACATTGAAAAGATTTTCGGAAATATCGAAAAAGTCTATCAAGACACACGCGCGAACGCAAGCGCATTTTATTTAACTCATCATATATATGAATTCTGAAATTTTAAGATTTCTAAAGCATTTTTACAGAAATTATAAAATTAAAATTTTAGAACATTTCATAATCCCTATATATAAAAAATTCTAAGAAAGGATGATCGCTCTCTCAGTTTTTAAAAATGTCGCAAATGATTCCAATATGTCCCAAAAAAATATGAAAATAATTTTCACTATAGTAGTTAGAAATTAACATTTATAGGGTCAGTAAGACAATAGCAGCACTATTACGAAGTAGTATCTACTATTACACTTTCCATGCTATTATACTTACTTCTTCGGCGACTGAACTCCTATAGAGGAAACAAATTGGAAATTCATATAACATTTCGGCAAACGAAATTTGAGATTAGGGCAATACCAAATTTCCGAAATGCGATCGTTGTATATTTTTACAGGATATTTCGGAACTTTCTCTGGTATCGGTATTAAAGAGAAGTCGCTGGCAATAAATACATTCTTTAATGGTAAATGAAAATTTGGCAACGGATCAATGGATTTCCAATGTTCGATATAATCCTTTGATATTTCAATATATAAATGTTCCTTTTTGTTCCTATTTACATGGGACTGAACTTCATTATGATCAAAAGTCAAAGGACGAGGCTTATCTTGCAAAATAGTGATAATTGCGGTCTCTGGCTTCAAATAATTCAAACAGCTTTGTATATCTTCTAGGTTGTACTTAATACAAATAAGTTCATTTGCAGTTATATAATCACGTGGTGGATAAAAGTGCATACCCTTACACAAACTTACTATATAGTCCACAGAATCTTTTTCGTTAATAAATCTAAAAAGACCTCAAATTATTTCACATACATAAACTTTGACAGACTTTCTTTTTCAATAATATCTCTTTTTATGTATGTTTCTTTACATATTTCTAAAATAAATTTACCTAAAATTATATTCCATTATCTTATAAATGTCATAGTAAATAGTCCTTTTATGTGGATCATCTTTTTTTAGTAAATTAATAAAGGAAAATATTGCATCTAGAACTTCCTTCAAATGTTCTTGTTTTTCACAGAAGAGCACTACAGTAATCTTGAACATAGTATATATACAATTATATTTTAAGAACGTTTCACTGCTACATTGAACATTATCACCTAAACTTATACAATTTGGCATTTTGTTGCGTAGATAACTTGTTAAAGAACCTTTTCCTCCATGCCTAATAATCCATGCGAGATATTCATGAGGTTTACTATAATAAAAATCGGATGGTAAAGGCACTGTCCATGTTACTTCTACCTGCAAAAGACAATTTTTAATTTATCATATACATATATTTACTATAAATATAACCTCTTTTTCGAATCTGTACTGAAGTTTTAAAGTTATCGTACTTCGTCACCTTGCTTAACCATCACATGTGATAAATGAGACCTTGTTTTCATAAATACTCTTTCGATTTCGAGAGTATCAAAAGAAACACTATTAACATAGTCATCGGGAGATAACCTATTACTTGGTACATCAACAAAGCATTTCGTAACGAATTTTTCCAGTGTGCTCAATGGAAATTTAGCCTACAAAAACATGCATTACGTTATATGAAAAATATATTTAATAAGTAGTCAAAGATTCACAATGCAGTTTATACTGAGTTACCTGTATAGCAATTGTCATTCTGTGAGCACTGTAATAGCGATTTCTGAATTTGTGCAATTCTTCGCACAATTTATTATCATCCATATTATTGCTACACATCATAGAAATGTTTCGAATATACTTATTGACTGCATCGGTTTGCGCAGAGGACAACGGTTGCTCCTTCTTACTCTCGTCACAATGTACCAATATATCCTCTATATATGAAAATGACATATAAATACTGAAAGTTACATATTGATATGATATTATAATTTATATACCATGTACAATGTTCTGTCTCTCTCGTGTAATGTTATCATTCATTATCAAGGGTTTAATAAAGCCTTGTGCAAAACGATCAAGAGCAGGAAGCAAAAATTTTTCTTGAATAGTAAAGTAAAATGTTGTTTGTTCGCTATCTGTTGAAACGCAAACAGTTCCGCCACGTTTTTCGATGAATGTTCCAAAACCTTCTTCCTGTGTATAAAATGATACTTAAACATTTACTCTCTGAAGATTAAATTCTTCAGAGAGTAAATATATTCTTTTTAGTAAAATCTCACTCCAAATAGTGAATATTGAACCAATCTCGAAATACTAACTCATTTTCAATGTTAAAGGTCGGATTGCACCAATAATACTTTAAGCGAAGCATAAAAATCTCACATTCTCTCTTTAAAACCGATAAAGTGGGAGAGATAAAAAGAGTTTTAAGCCTAGTTTAAAGTCAAAGTAGCGTTGGTACAACCGAACCTAAGAGCTAAGTTTTACTCTTTAGAATGAGATTCATTGTAAAAATATATATAGACAATATTACGAATAAATGAAATTTTATACAAAAAATTGTGCATCATGTTTTAGTACTTCTGTGTATTTTTCGGATCCCACGAAAACCATATGCTTGAATAAATTTGCTACGCCTTGAATGTCTGGATCGCTGAAACATCCTACTTCCACACATAAGCCACATACTGCCTATTTAAAAAAATATAGACATATATACACACATCACGCCGTACACACTGTGTAAATTATACTAAATGGAGAAATCAACATAATCTGCAGAATAATCTGCAGAGTACATAACTCAAATTAAATGACATATTTCGATACAGATCTATGAGAACTTTTCAAATAGAGTAAATAAAACCATTATTTAAATGGATACTTTTGATAAAACTGATAATATATTCTTACATTAGTTCTTGTAAATACAAATTCCTTTCATGATTTTATTATCTATCTTTAATATTATAACGTCGATAAATTTCTAAGGACCGATTAAGAATTAATTTTGTAAAATTCATATTCTAAAATGCAACTAAGTTGTCTCGTTTATACCTTTTTTTCATCTCTCTCGTCCTCTTTATTTTGAGAATCATCTGTTTTTAAATTTATATCCGATACAAGCAGAGCTGTTAAATCATTTATTAATCTTATGACCCTAAATTTAAAAGACAAAACAAACAACCATGAAATAAGATCAGTGAGAATGTTGGTTATATAAAAATATCTAATTTTCCTTTGTACAAGGTGGATTAACTAATTGTAACGTTTGTCTCAAAAGATTGTCGTCATGATATTTTACAGGTCTATTAGAAAATTAATCTTTTTACTAAGCATGTGCCTTTCTGTTACCTATAATCCTTTTTGTCGTTTTCCGATTTGACTGGATTCTCTAAATATTCAACTTGATGCTGATCATCTTCTTCCGTATGCTCCATTTATGCAGGCAATATATTATATACAGACGTGCACAGAAAATCACAGCAAAATGATCTGATCTGAGAATTTGTAATAGAATTTTGAAGATTAAGAGTTTTCAATTTTCTAGTAGACTTGGAGCAATTTTAACTGCACCTGACACTCGTTTTTCTTTCTTAGTGGCACTCGCCCTTCAACAAAGATCAAACGTTTAATAATTTGTATATTGTAGCTAGACGCACGTACAAAGAATATATACAATTGTAGATATGCTTACTTATCTGTGTTATTTACGCTACGGTTTAAGGCAAGTATTCATAATCGATTCTTTTATTTAAAAGTTGCCTAAGTAGTCTGAAAATGTCAATAAACCAACTACAGAGCCTTCACAATAGCATTTAAAGTTACATGTAAAGAAGGCATTTTAGAATATTGCCTCAAGATATTATGAGACGATATCGATATAAGAATTGATTTATGAACTAGTATAACTTTATAATTTTTTATTTATTGGTAATCCATGCGTGAAAAAGATTGTACATATGGCCTGCGCTGATAACAAAAAAAAATTTTTTTTCGAAGAAGCACAAACTAGAATATGTGTTTGTTATGGTTTTTGGATCACTGATTCCAAAATACTAATCCTTTTTTTCAAATTTTATCAGTGTATGTACAATGGCTTTATTATGCGCCAGTTCGCACTAGTGCTTTCAATCGAATTCACTATTTGACGACCTGTGTGAGTCATAGAAAATTCTTTCATCTTTAAAAACGTACTTTGAAAAATTAAAATTATATTATCCGTTTTTAAAGTTGAACTACTTTCTTGACTGAAGCAAATGGTTTGACTATTTGTTACACAACAATACATCAATTTATTTTATGATGTACAACATAAATGGTAATACCTAACATTTAGTCTGTTCGACTTGTTTACATTTTTTTACACTTTTTACACTTAAATTGAGATAGATATATATTTGTCGCTGAAAAGAAAGAAACCGAAGATGCTGAGTGTAAAAAGTTTAAGCGAGTAGAACAGACCTATTAATAAAGCAAAATTTTTTTGTTCCTACACTTTATTTAACTTTTCAAAATATTATATATCAGTCCTGTAACCTTTAATGTTATATTTACTTTCCTCAATCCTTCCTTTTCTCCGTCCTTTTCTCAATTGTTTCAATTTTCATAAACATTTCATCATTTTTTTCAATTTACTGAAAAAATTCGACATAATGGAACAAAACGATTTACAAATTCGGATTCAGCTACCCTAGATCTATACATGCAGCTACTCAGGTTTGTGTTTCTCTGAAAGTTTTTTTGTGGTAATGTGGTAATTTGAGTCGAAAAAAAATTCTACTAATCTACATACCGAAATGTAAAACCGCATGCTCTAATTAATTGTGCTTAGTATGAAATGCACTAAATATGAATACTGTTAATAAATTATTCAAATTCTTTCATCTAATAATGTGTTTATAAAATTGTTAATATCTTTAACGGTTAAAATATTTTCCACCTAATGATATTAAACAATAGCAAATTAATTATTAGATCTAATTAATAATATTTAAAATGTAATAAGTACAAGTTATTTTCTGTTGATTTTACATAGAAACAAGTCACAAATGTATACATTAGAGATTTCCGCTTCTCTACTCATCTAAATACATTATGCCTTTATCATCAGTATTAATAAATTACGTATAATGTTTAGTTTCCGAAAAATAAGGTAGTTTCCTTAGACTACTTCAATATCGGCGACATTCCTCAATTGTTGTTATTATGCAAGGATTAATACTAAATTTAAATATCAATAAATAAAACAGAACTATTTTCGTAAGGCAATAAAAATTATTATTTTATTTTTAATACACTATTCTTGCACAACACAGTCTCCGAAAAACGTTATGGAGACATCTTCTGAAGAACTGTGCTGTTTATATTATTATTAATCAGTTATGCTTTGCTCTAAGAGGATAGATATAAAGATATTTCTTGTAGTCTTCTACGTCAACAATGTGATGGTCTCCATCTTCCTGCTGATCGTCGCTTATATATTCCAAAGAAAAGTGCTTTGTTTTGGGATTTTCACCTATAACAATTAATATTTTTAATTGTAATTGTCTCAACAATTTTGACTAATTTGAACATAATTCAGTAACAAAAAATGGAAACCAAAAAATGATGTTATAGAATCAGAAAAATAATGTTACAGAATCAGAAATACATATATCAACCGAAATTCAATTTAAAAAATTATATCCTCACTATTTTCTTTTTCGACTGAAATTTTTTCTGGATCATTTCTTACTACATGTATTCTTAATTTCCTAAAATTCCTTCCATTCTTTGTGTGCTTTTCAAAACATTTTTTTAGATCGTTGACCTTTATGTCATCTATTGCAAGCACTTCTCTCTCGTATCTGTCAAAAACGTATTCCCCCTTCATTATCTCATTCCAGTTTTTCTGAACTACTTTTTCAACAACATTTTCAGTATATTGACGCTTTTTTGCAATTATTAGCCTAGCCTTAAATTTATCCAAATCCTTTTCCTGAAAATCTTTCAAAATCCCATTAAACAATTGCAAAAATGTCTCGATCCGCTGATCCATATGTTCGATTGTGCATTTATTTGCCTTAGTATAAATAGTAATGGAATATCCTAAAATCCCGTTAATATAGTCCAAGTCGCACGATACAACTTTAAATAGCTGTTTTTTGTCTATTTCCAAATTATGTAATATTTCAAACATTATTTCCTGAAAACAGGTACAGATGAATATGATATGCGGTTAAAATCAATCGAATATGTTATATATTTTTTATTTATATATAAATAAATAAATATATATAAAATAAAATTAAATATAACCTGAAAATTGCAATGCACTCAAAAAATATACAAAACAATGTTATTTAATACTTACCATCATCAGATCGAGTAATACCGATAATTGAACAGACGCGACATCAACTTGATAATAATTTGTCACTACGGAAGTTGTATTCATTTCGTCTATATTTTTTAATTTGCAATAGCTTATGCCCAAAGGTATTTGCACGACTCTCATCTGTTGTACTGTACTACTAAGCAAGGGACCGCAATTTATTACTTCGAGACATTCTTGTATAATCACTAATGCATCGTCCGGCGTTATGTTACCTTGCACGAGACATTGGATGTACAAATGATCGGTAAAGGATTTCACAAAGCGTTGGAATTCTTCAAAATTTACATTAGACAGAGCAGTATGTTTGTCGACGCCTGTATAATGAACAAGCTTCAATATTGATAATTTTACGTCACTGTAAGAAAGCACAAAGGAAGTTATTGATCAGCAGAAATATAATCTAATATATTTCATTTTAGAATTTTAATTGTTATAATTAATATGTATCCTTAATTGTTTCTACCAGTTACGTAAAAATTTTATAATTGTTATAATTATGCTTAATAATAAATAATTAGTACTTGATAAGTTTATGTGGATTCATAAATGCTTTGCTATAATATCCCTTATCTAATAGTTGCATTTTGCAAGATTCAAATAAAGACTTCGTAACAAGTGCTGGATATCGAACCATGTATTTTACAACAGTTATCAACAAGCGCTGCAATAAGTAAAATAATGTATCCCGAAAGTATATTTATAAGAAATAATAATAATAAGAATTCTTGATATTAAAAACACAATTAACAATAAAAAAGGCTAGTGAGATTAAAGACGCAGAAATTTTAGAGCATTTTATATATATGTATATGTATTCCATTGTATGTATATGTATTTCATATTCCATTAACGACGTCAAAAGTTTTGGCTACATTTCGAGCCATCCTTAGCAACCAATTTTTCCCTTATATTAATCTCATTCTTGTACTTGAATCCAAGGAGAATCGCAGCTCTAATGCCATAATTAATTTTAAACAATGACTGTAACATTTTAGTAATTACAAAATTAAAGAAAATAAATGGAGAGTTCAAATCCAGAGAAACATAAGAAATATATTACATATACATCTTTCTTTAATAATATAAAATTCCGCAATCATGCTAGAAAATTAAAGAAGGTAAAATTTCGTACTAGTTTTATTATTTATAAATTAAAAGTTAGAAATAAAATTCATGTATTATTTATTATTAACAAAAAATACTGTTACGGTTTTAGCTTTTCCTTTTTTAATTTTGTCCTCACCTGAATCTAATAAATACTGTGACAAATCGATTATAGTTTTATAACCACGATACTTTCTGGATTTACAAATAAAATTTAATATAAAACTAAAAACTTGAGAATGAAGAAGACTGAGAATGTGATCGAAAAGTACAAAATTGTTAATGAAATACCAAATATATTTGAAATTTGCACTTGCATTATCACACCGTTATTCTCATTAATATTTTAATACTAATCATATTTTTAAGTTTATAACTCCAACACACGGTTGATTTTATACTTACGGGCAATTTGTCGATGAACCCGTTCATTTTGATTATAATACCTTCATCACTAGTATATATATAATATTCAAATCCAGCTACAACAGCTGGATATAATTCTTCGAACAAAAGCAGTTTTAATGCACGACAGTACATTTCCATAATAACTGCACTGAAATGTCACATGAATGTTCCTTTCATTAAGATATAAATACAAATGTAAAAGTACATAAAAATTGTAGATTGGCAATTACACCATGCTAAAAATTTTACTTATAATTTTTTATACAATTTTTCAGAATTTTCATAAAAATTTCAGATTTATTTAAAATTTTTGATTAATTTTATAACATTTAAAAAAATTTCTCAGTTTCTATATACAGATTGAAACGCTTTTCGGAAAAGAGTCGAGAAAGTTTATCAAGACACACGCGCACACAAGCGCATTTTATTTAAATTCTTGATATATATGAATTCTGAAATATTTTGAGATTTCTAATATTTCTCATTACATAATTTTTGATAAAATCTTATAAAATCTGAAAAAATTTAAAGTATTTTTTCAGAAATTATAAAACTAAAAATTTTAGAAAATATAATTTTTCATAACTCATATATATGAAAAATTCTAAGAAAAGATGTTCGCTTTCTCAGTTTATAAAAAATGTCGTAACTTGTTCCAATGTGTCCCTAAAAAATTTTCACTAAGGTAGTTAGAAATTAGCACATATAGGGTGAGTAATAGCAGTACTATTACGAAGTAGTATCTACTATTACACTTTCCATGCTATTACTTACTTCTTCGACGACTGAACTCCTAGAGAGGAAATAAATTGGAAATTCATATAACATTTCGGCAAACGAAATTTGAGATACGGGCAATACCAAATTTCCGATATGTGATCGTTGTATATTTTTACAGGATATTTCGAAACATTATCTGGTATCGATATTAAAGAGAAATCGCTGGCAATGAATACATTCTTTAATGGTAAATGAAAATTTGGCAACGGCTCGATGGATTTCCAATGTTCGATATATTCCGTTGGTACTTCGACGTATATATGTTTCTTTTCGTCCCAGTTTAGATGGGACTGAACTTCATTATGATCAAAAGTCAAAGGACGAGGTTTATCTTGCAAAATAGTGATAATCGCGGTATCTGGCTTCAAATAATTTAAACACTTTTGTATATCTTCTGGGTTGTACTCAATACAAATAAGCTCATTTGCAGTTATATAATCACGTGATGGATAAAAGTGCATACCCTTACACAAACTTACTACATAATCCACAGAATCTTTTTCGTTAATAAATCTAAAAAGACCTCAAACTGTTTCACGTACATAAATTTTGACAGACTTTCCTTTTTCAATTATACCTCTTATTATACATGTTTCTTTGCACATTTCTAAAATAAATTTACCTAAAATTATATTCCATTATCTTATAAATGTCATAGTAAATAGTCCTTTTATGTGGATCATCTTTTTTTAGTAAATTAATAAAGGAAAATATTGCATTTAAAACTTCCTTCAAGTGTTCTTGTTCCTCACAGAAGAGCTCTACAGTAAGCTTCAACATGGTATATATACAATTATATCTTAAGAATGTTTCACTGTTACATTGAACATTATCACCTGAACCTATACAATTTGGCATTTTGTTGCGTAGATAACTTGTTAAAGAATCTTTTCCTCCATGCCTAATAATCCATGCGATATATTCATGAGGTTTACTGTTATAAAAATCGGGTGGTAAAGGCATTGTCCATGTTACTTCTACCTGCAAAACACAATTTTTAATTTATTATATACATATATTTACTATAAATATAATTTCGTTTGAATCTGTCTTGAAGTTAACGTACTTTGTCACCTTGCTTAAACATCACATGTGATACATGAGATCTTGTTTCGGTTAATACTCTTTCGAGTTTGGGAGTATCAAAAGAAACACTAGGAACATAGACATCCGGAGATAACCTTTTACTTGGTACATCAACAAAGCATTTCGTAACGAATTTTTCCAATGTGCTCAATGATAATTTAGCCTATAAAAACGTGTATTATATTAGATGAAAAATATATTTAATAATTAGTCAATGATTAACAATTTACTGAATTACCTGTATAGCTATTGTCATTCTGTGAGCACTGTAATAGCGATTTCTGAATTTACGCAATTCTTCGCACAATTTATTATCATCCATATATTCCATATTATTGCTAAACGTCATAGAACTGTCCCGAATATTCTTATTGACTTGATCGGTTTGCGCAGAGGATAACGGCTGCTCCTTCTTATTCTCGTCACAAGGTAGCAATTCATACTCTATATATGAATATGACATATAGAGATTGAAAGTTACATTGATATGATATTATAATTTATATACCATATATGTTCTCTCGCTCCCGTGTAATGATATCTTTCGTCATCAAGGGTTTAATGAAGCCTTGAGCAAAACGATCAAGAGCAGGAAGCAAGTGTTTTTCTTGAATAGCAAAGTAAAATGTTGTTTGTTCGCTATCTGTTGAGACGTTAACAGATCCGCCACGTTTTTTGATGAATGTTTCAAAATTTTTTTCCTGTGTATAAGATGATATTTATACATTTATTGTAAGAATTTACTCTTCAGAGAGTAAATATATTCTTTTTAGTAAAATCTCACTCGAAAGAGTGAAAATTGAACCAATCTTGAAATAGTAATTCATTTTCAATGTTCAAGGTCCGATTGCACCAATAATACTATAAGCGAGGCATAATAATATCACATTCTCTCTTTAAAACCGATAGAGTGGTAGAGATAGAGAGAGTTTTAAGCCTCGCTTAAAGTCAAAGTAACGTTGGTGTAACCGAACCTAAGAGCAAGATTTCACTCTTTAGAATGATATTCACTGCATGTTTTAGTACTTGTGTGTATTTTTCGGATCTCATGAAAACCATACGCTTCAATAAATTTGCTACGCCTTGAATGTCTGGATCGGTGAAACATCCTACTCCCACACATAAGCCACATGCTGCCTGTTTAATAAAATATAGGCATATATATACACATTATACACATCACGCATTACATACAATACACACTGTGTAAAGTATATTAAATGGAGAGATCAACACAATTAATAGATTAACCTGTACATAATTCAAATTAAATCACATATTTCGAAATGAATCTATGAGAACTTTTTTGCAAATAGTAAAGAAAACCATTATTTAAACGGCAACTTTTGATAAAACGAATAATATATTCTTGCGTTAGTTCTTGTAAAGACAGTTTCCTTTCATGATTTTATTATTAATCTTTAATATTATAATGTCAATAAATTTCTAAGGACGGATTAAGAAATAATTTGGCACAAGTTATATCATAAAATGCAACTAAATTGTCTTGTTTATACCTTTTTTTCATCTTTCTCGTCGTCTTCATCTCGAGAATCATCTGTTTTTAAATGTATATCTGATATAAGCAGAGCTGTTAAATCATTTACTAATCTGATGACCCTAAATTTAAAAGACAAAACAAACAACAATAAAATAAAGTCAGTAAGAATGTCGGTCATATAAAAAAATCTAATCATTCTTTGTACAAGGCGGATTAACTAATTGTAACGTTTGTCTGAAAAGATTGTCGTCATGATATTTTACAGATCTATTAGAAAATTATTCTTTTTACTAAGCATGTGCCTTCGTGTTACCTATAACTCTTTTTGTCGTTTTCCGATTTGACTGGATTCTCCAGATATTCAACTTGATGCTGATCATCGTCTTCAGTACGCTTCATTTCTGCACGCAATGTATTATATATCGACGTGCACAGAAAATCACAGCAAAATGATCTGATCTGAGAATTTGTAATAGAATTTTGAAGATTAAGAGTTTTCAATTTTCTAGTAGACTTGGAGCAATTTTAACTGCACCTGACACTCGTTTTTCTTTCTTAGTGGCACTCGCCCTTCAACAAAGATCAAACGTTTAATAATTTGTATATTGTAGCTAGACGCACGTACAAAGAATATAAACAATTGTAGATATGCTTACTTATTTGTGTTATTTACGCTTCGGTTTAGGGCGGATATTCATAGTCGATTCTTCTATTTAAAACTACTGTCTTAAGTAGTCTTAAAATGTTATTAAAATAATTACAGAGCCTTTACATTTTAAGAGCATTTTAAGCTACTTTCCAAAACGTCTTCCTATACGGAAAATTTTATTCGTAATATGTGGTACACCGGACGTATATTATATTATATATATTGAGTAAAATTTTCCTCGGAGAAGATATTTTAGAATGTTGCCTTAAGATATTATAAGACGTATCCATATAATAAATGATTTATGAATACTCAGTTTAACTTATAATTATTTATTTATTGTTAAGCCATGCATAACAGTAAATAAATAATTATAAGGAAAGATACTGTACATGTGTCCTGCACTAATAATATATTTAAAAAATGTTATTTTCAAAGATTCACAAAACTAGAAAATAAGTGTTTTATTTATAGGTTTTGGGTCATTGAATTTGAACTGGTAAGACCTCTGATGAAAGTAAAAGTTGGAGCGTAAGTCGAATGTAATGGGAGGGTAATAGAAGCTTAATCGAAGCTTCTACAAGACGAAAATTAAAACAATAAAACGCATAAAAGAGGCGTTTACACTTCTTTTACATTCCGTTGTTTTCACCACCTGGAAATTTTAAGGTGGCCTCACACACTTTCCGTAACTGTAACAGTAAGGTTTTCGACCAATCGTGTTGCTCGTTTGTTAGGCGTCGTCTACAATACACGGAGTAAGAAGTAAGAGTAAGAAATTGACCAATCACAGTCGAATGTGAGAAGAATAATCGATTGTGATTGGTCATTTTCTTACTCTTACTTCTTACTCCGTGTATTGTAGACGACGCCTTTCAGTCACGGTTACGGACGACCGAATCGAGCAACGCGATTGGTCGAAAACCTTACTGTTACTGTTACTTTACGCTTCTATTACTCTGCCTTTAAGGCCCGTCTACAATACACGGAGTAAGAAGTAAGAGTAAGAAATTGACCAATCACAGTCGAATGTGAGAAGAATAATCGACTGTGATTGGTCAATTTCTTACTCTTACTTCTTACTCCGTGTATTGTAGACAGGCCTTTACATTTGACTTACTCTGATTTTTATTTTCACCGGGGCCGTTTTACTATACCACATCCAATTTTTTATGTAATCGAGAAAAATAATGGAAAATTTGTGAAAATTGAAACATTTAGGGAAATAGCAAAAGTAAATATAACATTAAAATGCGATCGCAAACTAATTTAAATATGTTTGATACGTTAAATAAATTGTAAGAAAAAGAAGATTTTATTTTATTATTGTTGTTATATTATAGCTTAACACATAAAATAAATAGTATAGAGTACGATTGTGCAATAAATAGTTAAACCTGCGTGAGTCATGAAAAATTCTTTCAGCTTTAAAAAAAATATTTTGACAAATTAAAATTAGAATATCCGTTCTTATCAAAGCTAAAATTACTTTCGTGACTCACGCAGATAATCCGATTGTTTATTGCGCAATCGGTTTATTTTGTGACGTATTAAACGGTAATACCTAATATTGGTAAAGCAAAATTTTTTTGTTTTTTACACTTTGTTTAACTTATAAAAATATATAAATTAATAAAAATATTTAAATCAATTCAGCAACAGCGCGCACTTTAACATTATATTTACTTTCATTCTTTCCTCAAAAGTTTCAATTTTCACAGATTTATCATTTTTTTCAATTTCCTTAAAAAACTGGACATGATGGAGCAAAACGATTTACGAATTCGGATTCAGCTACCCTAAATCCATAGAAACACCTACTCAGATTTGTTTCTCTAAAAATTTTTTTGTGGTACAGTGGTAATTTGAGCCGAATTCTATTAATCTACATATCGAAATGGAAAACTATGCACTAATTTATTATTAACATATGTACACTCGCTTCCGATAATTGCAGTCAGTCTTTGGTTGAATGAAATAGAAGGTATACAATATTTAAAAACTTCCGCACAATTTCTTTGTTTTTTTAGAATTTCCAATAAATAAAATAGAACCTTATTACTATATAAGACAGTTTATTATATTCTTTCCATTATAAATCAAAAGACATCCACAGAATTAGAACGTTCTCTAGATATTCTTCAAATAACCACAGCAAAACTATGTTGTCTGGATTGTTGCTATACTTACTAAAAGCTCTGAAGGATAAGTATAGAGACTTTCCTTATAATTTTCTATGTTTCCTAACATAGAAATTATAATTAAATTAGAACTAAAATAGTAATACGATGAACTTTAGTTTCCTCCTGATCGTCGCTTATATATTCCAAAACAAAGTGCTTTTCCTTCCAATTGTCAGCTACAACAATTAATAGTTTTTATCTTATTTGTCTCAGCAACGTTGAGCATAATTCGACAACAAAAAGTGAAAGGCAAAAAATATTACAAAATCAGAAATCATCGACCAAAATTCAATCAAAAAGTTATGTACTCACTATTCTCTTTCTCGACTTCAATTTCCTTCTGATCACTTCCCACCACATGTATGCTTAATTTTCTAAAATTACTTCCATTTTCCGTATGCTTTGCAAAAAATTCTTTCAGATCGTTGATCTTTATATTCTTTATTGCAAGCGTTTTTCGAGTCTGTCAAAAACGTATTCCCTCTTCGTTATCTCACTCCAGTTTGTATAAACTTCATTTTTAAGATCGTTATCGGCAGTATAATTATATTGCTTTACTAATTTCTCCTTAACAGCATCCAAATCCTCTTCTGACATCTTTTCTAAAATTACATAGAACGATTTCAAATGTACCCTGATCTGCTGAACCATGTGCTGGGTACAGTTATCTGCTTTAGCCGTAATAAAATAGCCTAATAGCTGAAGTTTCATTGCACGAGAAAAAACTCAATTTGGAATCCCCACTGCATGATATTTCAGCTACTATTATCTGAAAACAAGTATGAATAAATGTGTTATGTGTATAAAATCAATTGCAATAATCGAATACGTCATTCATTTTTTTTCCGCTTTTATATGAAAATATGGATTAAATATGAATAATACCAAGAATTGCATTGCATTAAAAAAATATACAAGACAATGTTTAATACATACTCTTATCATATCGATTAATACTGATAATTTAATCGACGTGATACCGACTTGATAATAATTTGTCAATACACAAGTTTGATTAGTTTTGTTAATACTTTTCAACTTGCAGGGCACCAAGTGGCTCGCCACTCACAATCAGCGCGATTGATCTGTAGATCCAGGTTCGATCCCACCTGCGCCCCACATACGCGATTTTTCGCGTTCGTCGTTCAAATTCGGCGTTAAGCTGTACTTTTTAATTTGCGATAACTTATGCCCAAGGATATTTGAACGACTGTCATCTGCTAACATATGACGCAGGACGATACAATCGAGACTATACAGGAATGTCTCAAAATAATTAATTGTGCGAGCAATGGACAGCAATTAATTATTTCGATACATTTCTGTATAGTCTCGATTGCATCGTCCTGCGTTATGTTATCTTGCACAAGGCATTGAACATACAAATGATCAGTAAACGATTTCACAAAGCTTCGGATTTCTTCAAAATTTACATTAGACAGAGCAGTATGCCTGTCGACGTGTGTATAATGAACAACCTTCAATATCGATAATTTCACGTCCCTATAAGAAAGAAGAAAGGAAGTTATTGATCAGCAGAAATACAATCTGATATATTTCATTTTAGAATATTAATTGTCATAATTAATATGTATCATTATAACTCCCAGCAAACGAGAACAGATTGGATTGGATAAATCCATATGAATCAAGTTTTCGAATCCGCGTAATTCGTGAAAAAGATATTGAATTTTGTAGAGACTGAATACACTGAATCCGTTTGTGTACATCTAGATAAGAATAATAAGGTGAACTTTAGTGGATTTATATATAGATTCAGAAATTAAATGGTAGTCTGCGATCTTAGAAAGTGATTTATCGTTGGAAAGTATGCACCAAGATAATAATCACAGATATATAAATTTCTTCTCGAATAAACCCTAGTACTGTACCCAGAGTATACGACATTACGGATTCACGGCAACAGGGTATGACTCCCGGATAACCTGCATTGTGGCCAGAGTCTAGAAATTACCTTGTCGCCGTGGATCCGTAATGTTACACACTCTGTATATCACACCGGAGTTTTTGTTTGGGAGGTAAGGACTTATGTATATTACCTCGATGCGTGCTTTTCAACGATATCACTTGCCAAAATCGCAAGTGATTAGCACTTGGTGGGTTTCTCATGTTAGACAATTCTTCAATACCGCGCGTTAAATTAAAACGAATTAGTTCATTGCGTTGAATATTGGATAAGATACCAAAAGTAAATTACCAATACATAATTACGATTCAACCGGATTGATCGTATGTTTCATTTCTATGCACATTGGATGAGATACAGAAAGTAAATAACCAATCCATAATTACTGATTCAAGCGAATTACGGATAGAAAAGAATTTAAAAAATTCAAAAACTTGATTCGATATCACTTCAATGAATAATTTTCAATAATTTGCTGGGCTATAGTATGTATCATTAATAGTTTCTATCAGTTACGTAAAAATTGTATAATTGTTGCAATTACGCTTAATAATAAATAATCAGTACCCGGCAAGTTTATATGGATCCATAAATGCAGACATAAGATATTCCGTATTTAATAATGTTACTCTACAATTTTTTAATATAATATTCGTAACAAGTACCGGATAGTCTACAATGCATTTTGCAATAGTTATCAACAAGAGCTGCAATAAGTAAAACTGCAATAGTTATCAACAAGAGCT